ACTCCAAGAAGGAGAACTAGTTAAAAGTTGGGAAAGACGATTGGAAGTCAAAAATACCGTCTTTCATGCGGATCTTCTAGCATTAAAAACAGCCATCAATGTGGCAAAGTATCAATTAGTAGCAGAGGTAAATACATATAGCGACTTCGCCTCACGTTTGAAGGCCATCCGAGGACATAAGACAAGGAGTTCTCTAGTGCAAGACATGCAAAAATTCTTCTAAGTAAACCACTAGATGACAGACCTCTTGATCTGGGTTCCAGCTCATGTAGATATCACTGGCAACAAAGCGGCGGACTTGCTTGCGAAATCTGCAGCCAATGACTCCAATTGATTGGAAAACCCAGTAGGTGTGCCACAGTTTTATTTTAAAAAATAATGCTCAGTAGCTTTGTACAAAAATGGCAGAATAGATGGGAAAGGGAAATTTCATGCTCAATTAAAGCCCACAGCGATGCACAAACTCATTGCTACTCTGGCCATGGTCCCTTCCCACATTATCTTAAGATATTCTCTAAATGAGACTCAGAATTATGCGAATGTGGTGCAAAAAGTGATGCAGATCACTCCCTCTTCAACTTCCCACACGCTGATAAATTACATTTAAATATAACAAGCAGTGAATACTGGCTGCAATGGGCGAAGAATACCTGCGGCAACAAGCAAGCGAAAGGTCAGATAGAGGAGGCAAACTAAGCTCAGCAAGGTATTAAGAATTTTTGCTCTTGATAACTGGATCTTCGCAACATAATTTCAGTAGCAAATCAAAGTGGTGTGAAGAGGCCTTACAAAAGTGGAGTACATTGAACTGACAACTCGAAAATAACGGATTAGTGTAATAATCTCTAACAACATTAATACCCAAGTAATTGAACAGTAAGAATGATACTCTCTTGTTAGATATTGCAAGTCTTATAATAGCAGTTGCAACTATTCCAAGCAAATTACCTAAGGTACCAGCAAATTGAATCACGTAACTCCCTACCCAGACTTAGCCAAACAGTATGACAACAAATGAAAAACAACATTAGAAAAATAGCTCGCTCCGTATAATAGTAACTGGACTGTAAGAGCACAAACTATTATAATGTAAGTTTATTTCTATCCATTTTGAATGTACGTATTAAAAATAATGTTGTAAAACAGTTAAAAAGGAAGTAGAGACTCCAGTCAATGTGTAACTGAATTACAAATTTACTGTGATTATCTCTGTAACAGTATTGTAAATATGAAATCAGATAATGTTTCAATGTGCACATAACTTTCATGATTAATTTCAAGTATCTCATGCAACTTATACCAGACAATTTTTGTAATTAACGTATCTATACTTATACACAGTCCTTGTAGATTATTAACACTGTAAGTCTTTTAAAACAGTCAAGTCAGTGGTTATCCTAGGCGGCGCTCAGCACAATTTTACTACTGCAGTTTACCAGAGTAATTTAGAACAAGCAATCCACAATTTTGTCTCATCTTAATAACATAATATTTTAAATACTTTCTTTTTTGACTGAGAAAAAGAACACTTAATTGAAAATACGAATTCCCAAAATGATATCTAAAATCAATAGTTTTTTTCATTTTCTAGCAAAGTATGACAAATCTTAAATAATAATTGTTTAAGTATGCGAAAATGTCCCAAAATTACAAATGAAAAGAAGGTGAAAGAGGAAAAGAAAAAATTCTATTTGTAAAGCTTATTTATTAAACAAAAGGTAAAGAGCAAAAAAATATGCTATATGTTTGATATTATTAAAAAAAATTAGCGATTTTTTCTCCCTGGAGCAAATTACAAAAAAACACCTATTTACAAAAAACCAAATATTACATGGTTGGTATGATTGTTAATACATTGTATGTCTCCCAAACGATGCAATACAGTCCGTACAACGCCTAGGCATGCTGAGTATCAAATTATCGATCTGATCTTGGGGGATATTACACCACTCAGAAAGCAATGCTCTCCGAAGTTCCGGTAGACACGTAGGAGGAGGTTGACGGACTGCAATGTGTCGGCCAAGCATGTCCCACACGTGCTCTACTGGATTCAAGTCCGGTGAGAATGCTGGCCTGTCCATATGGCTGATATCCTCCGATTGAGGGCATTCGCTTACGATGTTTGCCCGGTGAGGACGGGCGTTTTCATCCATAAACACAAATTGTGCGCCCATGGTGCCCCGAAACAAACGTACATGTTGTTCCAGAATGACGTCCCGGTAGATTTGGCTTGTCGTGGTTCCAATTTGAACATGCAGGTCAGTTCTGGAACCCAGAATAATTCCACCCCAAACGAGCACTCCTGCACCACCGTAACGGTGTCGTTCAATAATGTTTTCTTGGTGGCAACGGGTACCTGGAGCTCTCCATATGAAAGTCCGACGAGAATCATACTGCAAGCTAAACCTGGACTCGTCGGAAAACATCACACAAGCCCACTGTTGCGGTGTCCACAATGCATGCTCTCTACTCCAGGCTAACCGCAGGCGACAGTGAGTTGCAGTAAGTGGAACGTATCTGACAGGTCTACGAGCATATAGACCAATCTGCCCTAAGCGTCTGTACACGGTCTGCCTTGAAATGGTCGTACCAGTGGCTGACGAGAGCTGACGAGACAGGTCTGAGGCTGTCCTCCGTCTGTTTCTTTTGGCAGTAACTGCCAAATACCGGTCCTCATTCGGCGTTGTAACTCGACCTGCGCTGTAACGTCTACTCACATTACCATCATCTTGGAATCGTTGCCAAAGCCTGGAGATGACACTCTGGGCATTTCCAAGTTGGTCTGATACTTCCAGTTGGGTACGCCCACATTCCAGACGGCCGATAATTCTGCCACGTAAAAAATCATCTAAATGCGTCCTTTGTGTCATAACTATTCGGTTATTGCACTGAAATGCTTTTAAAGCGCCTGCGAACAATTTAACTTCTTTGCCTGAATTCCTTATATATCACTCTCTTACACTCTCGTCATTGTGACGTACCATCGGTGTCATCTGATTACTTACTGAAATTTGCATATGATTCTTGAAGATGTATGTAGTGATTTTACAGGTAATATATTTATTTTAGAGTTTGATTTCCGCGTGAATTATCCTTAATTTATGGACATGAGTGTAGTTAGTAATATAAAGTTTAGGATTACTTTTAAGTTGTCAAAAGCAAACATTTCCTTAACTACTTTCCTCCTACATGACTGAATCTTCTGTTAGACAGGCAGTTGGTTGATGAAAGTCAAAATGAGGATAAATATGGAACTTGGAAATTACGAACAGTATCGTGATGACTTTTACTTTTGCATTAGTAACTTAACGCATATTTTTCAGTGTTAAGCTTCTAAACATTTATTTTAAATTTTGCTCTGTCTTTCTTTTCCTGATTTCGCAAGAGCTCGCTCTAGAAAAAAGGTGTCAACTATCATAGATAATGCAAAAGTGATATTAAGGACGGATGTTAACAACTGATAACTGGTTTCGTGGCTTAAACTGAAGTGAATAGTGTCTATGAGTACTCCTGTCACCAACATTTGCTGATTATCTGTTTATCCGTGAAGTTGATTATCCGTTTTCTGGAGTTCCTGAGTGGAGATAACATGTAGGTACATGCTAAATCCTGAGTTATAATAGTCAGATGTAGTATTGTTCTAGCTAATTATATATTATCTAAAAAGTCTGACTAGTCAGACTACCTTTGACAGGAGTAGTTCTTATTAAATTTTTATGCAACAGGACTAAAGATAATATAGATTTTGTTAAATAACTTAAATTACGTTGTACTCAAACTTCCTACATAACAGAATTCGTTTGCACTTTTGTTATAGCCATGTTGCAATAAGCTGTTAGCCATTTTTGGTTGAAAGTTGTATATTTTTCTCATCATCGCTTTTCGGTATGTAAAATTTATGATCGTTTAACATAATTAAAGAACCATTTTATGATGCTTGCAAAACTTTTGTTAAATGAATTAAAATGTAAGTTGCAGGTAAAGTCGTTGCTCCTTTTAACTTAACCACCTCTTCAGTATTCCAGGTACTTATATTAAAAGTTACACTTTAAATAGTACATGTACGAAATGTGAGAGGAATAGTAAAAATACACGTTAAAAGACGAAGTTACAGATGAGTTTTAATAAAGTAAAACTTCTCCATTGCATGAAAAAGAATTACGCATTATATATTAGTTGGTAATTTGAGTATAACAAAGCACATGAGGGCTTTCTGCTAAGGAGAGGAAACCTTTCTAGAGAAACTTGTTTGTGTTCACTTTTCAGGATGGAAGAAAACCAACCATGTAGTCGGTTCGTTTACTGTTTGCTTGAGTTTGAACCCGGGACGGACTGCCATTAATTGGGAGTCCTTAACCGCTCGGCCACTGGTGGGGCTTTTTACATATTACAAATTAATTTTGTTTATAAAATTGGAAGGTTTTGCTAAGTTTTTATTTTTCAGAGAAATTTCTACCACAATTAATGCGAAATACTAGTTTAAAATTATTTTTTCAAGCACTTTTTAAAAACATTCTGCTTTTTTTTAACCAATCTGAAACACAAATCTTCTTGAATCTCTTATTAGTTTCTTTAATCGGCAAATGTGTTCCACATACTTTATATCTTAGATATTTGGAAATTTAAGTTGATGCGCTTTTGTATCATGGTATCTCTTTCACGTTCTAATTTCCTGGCTTATAAAACAGCGCTTTTATATTCTTTTATTTAATGACAAACGGATATTTATGCTCATTTTATGTCTCATATATATGTGAACATCAATTTCTTTAGCTTTCACTGCTGATATACTAAATTAATAATTATTGAATGCATTTCATAATTATTAAATCACTAATATATTTCATAAAATTTTAAAAAGCATTAAGTGAGGCAAATAATAATTAGTTTTAACAAACACATAGCAAGAAAAGTGTTTTTAGACTGAAGAGCTTCATAAATTTGTGTATATTTCCTTTTCCTTTTCTAAGAGCTTGATCTTGTTTTATTTCTTTCTGTAGATATGCGAATAAGGACATGGCTCACAGCAGCAGTGGTGGGTGTTTTGTTTGTCCCAATTGTATTTACTCATTCGTATGAAGAACAACAAAAACGGATAATGTCTTCGGCAAAGATTCAAGATTCGGGATTATTGAGATCTCTCCCATCATCGATGTCTTATTCCATTTTCCTGAGCGCTCTTAGCGGTCTACAGAGGACAACGCAAAGGAAAAGAACGGGTTAGTTTCATTCTCTAGGTCACCAAGACAGTCTGCAGCATCAAGTACCTATTTTATCTTTTCAGACTCATGTTCTCTGAAAATAAAATGTCATACAAGAGATAAATGGATTCATTTCAGAATATGAAGGAATACTAAGGTCTTACATTTATAATTTCCAGAACTCACTTTTTTATTGGAGGTGAAGTTTTACAAGTAAAGTGTTGATGAATGCAGTTTAATTTAAACGTCAAGTCAACATTACTAGACCCATTACACAAATTCATTTTATATACACAAAAACTTGTTTTAAAATCCCAGGACTTGAATTAGATAATTTGCTTTTCATTCTCACAATACGTTGGCTTTCCCGTGCTAATTAAGAATGCATTATTTTTAAATGACACTTTACTCAAGTACGAGGGTAAAGTTAGTTTATACTGCGAACATGAGGACAGCTTTCAAACGTAAGAATCCCAAAAAATTAGAAGTGAAACAAAATCTGTTGAAATTACTTAGCAAAATAAATAATATAGCCGAGAGCAATAATATGTTGCGCAGCTTCCATACATATATTAAACTTAAATTCAAAACTCAACCTTTGTGCCATTTTTAAATGCATTTTATAGTTAAATCACTCAGCAGCTAATAAATGCTCATGATTTTATTTAACATTAAATATTTTATGTTTAAATTTAAATATGATCTTAAAAGTTAAATAGTTTATATTCAAATTTAAATAGTTTATATTCAAATTTAAATAGTTTATATTCAAATTTAAATAGTTTATTTTCGGATTTAAATAGTTTATAATCTACATTAAATCATTTAACTCTATATGAGCATAGTTATAATTAAATTATTAATTCTCATATTTGATTCTTTTAATATCATAAATGTCTAATAGGATAAATGAATGACAATAGTGGTTTAAATGTGCGTGATAAATATTGCCATTCATCCAAAATTATAAATTATAATGAAATAATTATAAAGAGAACCTATTTCTGTTTATTACTTTTTGAAATTTTCTTGGATTTGTTTTTTTTTTTACTTTTCACAAAGAATAAATTCTAGTGTAAAATTTATTGTGTGCTGAAAAGGCAAAATTTCAGAGAACGTAATTTGATACTCAGATAAAGTAATACAATCCAGACTACTTATTCTTTCTTATTAATTATCTATACAACCAAGACAGTATAAAATAGATGAAATATTCGAATCCTTAAATCCTGCGAATCTTGCTAAAGATATAAGATTCGAAAACTCTAATCTTCGAGATTTTTTTCGTCATTCGAATCCTAAATTAAAAACTCTAACGAGGCCAACTCATGATATCCACCAATTTCATGTTAAGATATGGAATTAGGAGATTAGCAACGAGCTTTAAATAAACTCTAACTTCCAGGTGATCATTTTGTAAATAAAAATTAATTTATTTTAGAATTTTTACGGCTCAATGTTAATTATAAACACCACTCAGTTTTTTTATTCTATTCTGCCATACAATGGGCAAATGATAATAAACAACGATAACTATACTCATCCGTCCATGCAACTCATCCGTTCTCATGCTTTGATTTGAAAATATCACATCGTAGTATATGCTCTGTTCAGAGCCGGGACAAGGGTGAGGAAAGTGAGGCATTTGCCTCAGGTGAATCATTAGAAGGGGCGCCATATTGGCTATACGAATTCGAAAATTACTTTAATTATGTTTTTAAATTTGTCAGTTATTATTAGAAAAAATAAGCTTGGGCAAACTTAAGTTAATAAAACGATAGGAAGAATTGCAAGAAAACCTGGAAATTAACGTAATGTGCATTTCGATGCTATTTCTTGTTTATCAAAAAAGCAATTTTTAACATTTTCATTTGAAAGTTGTAAATAATTGGCTATATTATTTTTCTGAATTTATAAAGCTACTATTAAAAATACATTAAGAATTATGGTATAATTATGCTATAGGAATTATGATATTGTTACGTAATTATCTTTTCCTTTACGTTTGTACGTTACGGGGTAGTGCGGATTTGGAGTGAATAACAAGAACAGCACCTCATGAAGTATCGAAACACACTTTATTTAGCCAATATTAATAAGGACAGCTCCAAAATCACGTTTACAGTCGTCGAAGAACTACGATAAACACGCTGACACAATCAGCGACACAGCCTTCCCAATATCAGGCTATAACAGTGGAGACAGCTTCACTGCAAAGCGCCAGAGTACAGCTCCTGACTCTGCTCGGTCGTTCTCGGAACTCCACGTACTCTCGAGACTCTCCACGCTACAACTTGCGACGCATTCGATGATACACTAGAGTACAGCTCCTGACTCCTCGATTCAGTCGTTCCCGGAGCTCAACACACTATCTCGAAGATGCCCTAACCGCGATACACTAAGAGACTCTTTCGGTGCACTCGACGACCCACTCGGCATTCGCTGACTGACTGTCAACTCGATCGACTCCTCAGGGACTAACTAACTGACTAACTAACTCACTCTCCGCGTACCAGCAGGGTTTATATAGTTTTTGGCTTGTGTTCGACAACATTCTGGGCTAAACCAGTAAGAATTCGTTTCAGAAGGTTCTCCATCTGTCTATGGTATATCGCCAAATTTGTCGCCAAATTGGCGAATTCTCGCCAAATGTGGCAACCTTGCTTCCCTTTGCCATTTTATAGCAACCTTAAACCTGCTTTGCGTGGAAGCTATCTTACTTCGGCTGAGTATTTCATAATGGTATCTAGTAACACTTCAGTTGTTACATTAGGAGTGGTCGTTTGCAAAATGAGCTGTGAATGCGAATAGCAGCAGTGATTGAAGGCTTTTGCTAGGATCAAGGCAGATTGAAAGGTAGTTGATTCAAACTAAAAAACAAAATACTGGGGAAAGTCATCATCGGAGTGAATCTGAACAGGAAGCTGCCTCACTGAATAAACTTTCTGTTTTTGATGAAATTTTGATAGAAAAAGGTAGAATGAAATTGATAAGAAATGCATCTTTTCAAGATGTTCACACAGGGTCACACAATACTCTTACTGAAGTTCCCGGCGTGCAAGTTCTTTTTGAAGAAATTGTATCATGGAAGTATTGTAATGTTTACCTGAGAACCAATATTTTTGTGGTATTCTCTTAAGTATGCACACACCAGAGGCCAAATAGTAAAGTCTCTGAACACTAGTAGTTCGGTTCAGGTTTTGAATCCCGGCAAACAGGCTGGTTGCAAGGATGTTTTAATGATTTTCCCTATGTGTCTGGACATTTCGTAACAATATTTTGATTTAATGCAGTTACTTTTGTTTAATACAAATATAGCTATTTTTATCTTTCTCTCTCTCTCTCTCTCTATATATATATATATACATGTGATGTACCAGCTTTAGTCGTAGCTTAAATTATCAGACGATAAATTTAAAAAAAAAACAGGATCCATTTATTATTATTCAGGAGAAATAGCAGTTGCAAAAATCAGATATCCGAAGTAAATAAAAAGAATTACTAATAACTTTTTGTATGAAGTTTACTGCGTCGTGACATTTAAGAAAAAGCGCCGATATTCTTTTGCGAGTCCTCTTGTAGCCTCTGGAAAGGCGGAGCTTCAAAGAAATGACGTCAGCCTCGTCAGCCAATCCAGTTCGCTTTTTATACTAGGCTTTAAATATTTCCTTTAAATAAATATACCTTTAAATATTTCCAGAACATTCTATAACTGTACGTGTAGAAAAGGCGGGAAAAACAACTTGACTATGGGGATGTGGATTTAATTTCGCGTACTTTCAAATAAGAGAACGTCGCCATTAAAAATGAAAAGAACATACAGTTAGAATTTTAAGTGTATTCTTGACTATGGAATTTTATTATTACATACATATACATATAAGGGCGCGCATTTACCTTTTTGCCTCAGATGAAAAAATATCTTGGCACGGCTCTGCTTCTGGTCATATAGTGTTTCGGATTCACAAACTATTTCACCAACCAATGAGTAAGAACCGCAGAATTTTAAAAGCAGAATATCTAAAATTCCCATAAACGTGTTAAATGTTGACGTACATTTATTTTTATATTCGCTGTATTATTCCCATTTGCTACATTTTTTCTTTAAATATAACACATAGCGATAACATTTGGTGGCAGCATCCTTTTATTTGAAAAGAGACTCTGCACAAAAGTAAAATGAGCACAAAATTGAGGATTGAGACTAATACATTTAATAGTTTCACAATGAGAGCTCATCTTCATACTGTGTACTTTGTTGCATTTGACATAATTCCCAGAATACGTTTAATACTTGTATGTAATATGTTGTTCTCAAGCACATACCTATTTTAATATACCAAATTTGAGAAGTTATGGATTATCTGATTTATATATATAGCTTTAAGAAAGTCTGATCAAATAAAGTATCATTTTTGGTTTATCACTTTTATCAAATATCTAATATATTGTTCCCATTAATATCAAAATCTTAAATGCTAAAATTGAAAAGTTTTGAATTATATTTTAATACCATTTTTTATCAAAACTCGTTAACTTAAATAAAGTATCACTTCTGATTGTCCATTAAAGACTGCCATGGGCTTTCTGTAAAGTATCACTTCGGGCTTTCCAATTTACTCAAAATCTAATCAGCTCTTTATATGAATGTAGAAATACGGTGACTAGAAATTTTGGGAAATTTCATATAATACATATACAAACAAACACAACACATACACACAAATATCATTGTAAAATTAGTAAATATATGGTGGGAACTCTAATTCGCACTAAATCACTGAAAACTCTCTGGCGATTTTTTGGGAAGGAAACATTACCCTTCTTTCTAGGCACGCAGGTTTGCGGGAGGTTTCACTCAAAACTTTGGCAAGATTAGTCTCAAAGGCGTTCATTAAAAGAAGGCATTCATTAAAAGAAATGTTAATGTTGTAATTTCAGTGGTACTTGCATCATCACTATCACCTCGTAGAAGCACTAGGTGTCGTCATTTTCTGCAGAGAATTTAGTGCACCAGG